TCTTACTGAGCTCATGAAGCTCACCCCAATTTACCCCTATTCAGGTCATAAGAGATGAGAAACAAGTTAAGATCAATAGAAGATTGTGAAGAAAACTTTGTTAGTTTCTATTTAAAATTTTTAAATTAATTTAAATACTTTGATTATTTGTAAACAAATAAATATTTTATCACAAGAGATATGTATTAAATTTTAGTTCCACTGCATGTTTAATATTTATCTATTTCAATAATTGAAAATATTATGTTAACGTCCATATCTACTGACATTGAGGTTCGGACTGTTACAATAATAAGTTTTTATTCTTCATATACAACGACTGCCTAATATGTTTTATTAGCTTCATAACCAAGAGAACAAATTAAAAAGTTTTTTTCTATAGGCCTAAAGGATACCTCTTCGCTTGTTATTTAAATACTTTTTAAGACTTGTTGTATAGGCTTAAAGAAATAGTTCTACGGGATAAAATCTTATCTACCATAGATAATTCGTATATAACATAATTTTTTAGATCTTTTGCTATAAGAAGTGGTTCATTTGTGCTATAAACTTTTGTTTTCTTTGCTAAATAATTCAGGTTATTCATTTAGAATAAGTGTAGCTTGCATATGTGGAGTTTGCATTTTTATAAAAGATGTTGTTGTTGTTGTCTAATATCAAAGTGCCTCGTTTTATTCTTGCTTTTTAAGGATTGAACCTTTTTTATTTTACAAGTAAATTTCGATCTTTTACATATATGTTGAAATAAGGAGAATCTAAGATACATATATATATATATAAAACTTAAAGTGGTTAGAATGATAACTAAACAAATGTGAAAGACCATCTAAAACAGAACTTATTAGAGGATAATAAGGTTTCAGATAGAGTTCATCTTTACGTAAACTGAAAATTTTAAATTTTTATATGAAAATTGAACTAATATATATCTTCGCATATTTTATATTTTATGTATATTTTAATTCAAATTTATTATTTAGAAATAAAATAAAATAATTAAATATATAACAGTTTTAATTATAAAAGAAAAATTAATAATAATGTAAAATTGACACAATTCAAATCAATTTTTAGTTCATAATAAATTATAAATTCTCTTGTTAACTCATTACCAAGAAAAATAATAAAAATTAAAAATAATTTTGATGACTGATATCTATGCTTACGTGTAAAAGCCGCAAGGCTCAAAGCCTTGGAAGCGTCGTGGGACCCACTGTGAACTCGTGAGGTGTATGAACTTATGATACGTGGCGGCTCCATAGCCGCTGTTGTTTTATATCCGACTTTATCATTTATAATTTTTTTATTTCTCCAACACTTGAGTTCTGGGAATATCCAAAATCACATAATTGCCATTTCCAAGTTTCTATTTCATCAAATTAATATGTACTAGTTAAGTTACTACGAAATTTACATTTTCTAAGAATATTATAAACTAGCTCATAATTATTGATTCATATAAAAAATTAATCACATAATAACTTATTGTAATTATCTTAATTAAAAAAATTTAATAGTGATAAAATATTTTTTTATTATAATTTATTAGGATAGAGTCAAACTTAATCTCATTTACACATCTAAATTATTAATTTTTTCATTAATTAAAATGTACTTGTTTATTAAAATATATATATATGTACATATTGATTAGTAAATTGAATAAATAATATATGATCTGCAGTCACTTTTTTTCTAAAGTAGTAACATGGACAAATTGTCACACCCTTCACGCATTTTGTTAACAATTTTTCATATTGAATTCGAAAACATTAATTCAATATTTTTATTAGAAGAATAAGTATTGGGATTTTAATTCATATATTTTAAAAGGGGAGAG